ACCCAGTCAGGAATCCTACTTGAGACTGTCAGTCAGGGGTAGCCCACTAGCAAGAAAGGGAGCAGAAACCTCTTCTCTGTCTTCACACTGGGGAAGTAACAGAAGTCACCTCCCTGCTCTTCATTACTGTGGTATCTTAGCATCTTAAATTCACTGATATGGCTTTATGCTTATGATGCTCTTACTGGAAAATTCCCATCTTGCAGGTGAAAAAATTAAACTCAAGACTTCCAAAACTTAATCCTAGCTTCTAAACAGTCTGGCATCCAGGTGGACATGCATCTAATACAAAACCTGACCCTTCACAACAGATCACGTTTGCTCTCATGCAGGTGTTATCTGAAAGACATTTACTCATCCAAAGCAGGATTCCTAATTAGGCCTATGTAGGTCTAGTCTTCCATTTACCCATAAGGACATTGACCCAGGAACTAAATTACACCTCAATTACCCTAGTTTGTAGCTCTCCCCTAATACAAGACATGGTCTGCACAATAAGGCCCTGGTTGCCAAAAAAAAAACCCCAAAATATTTTCTGCGCTGTTTGCTGGCAGAAGAAGAAAGAATCCACACATCATGGTTTATCTATATGGGAAAGATGTCTGGAATTAACAATAGTAGAGTGGCTTCCTCAGTGGACAGTTCCTCAGACCCCACCAGTTAAAAACTGACTATTCCTCCTGAGCAGAGAAACTTCCTGAAGCTCTTGCAACGCAATTCCTTTGTCACAGGGTAAAGCCCTCCATGCTTGCCTAAGGGAAATACATCCCTTCCAACTACTTCACCTCCCCTGCATCACAAGTAACTGATGAAAGCTTGGGATGAGGAGGAGGAGAAATTAGGATAAAGTAATGGAGAAAGAAAGCGGCTGAGACGTGTATTTCTGGCAGAGGAGCAAGGAACTGCTCACGGCAAGACAGAATATGTAAACAGAAGAAAACAAACACAAACATAAATCAAGATTAACAGAGAATTATTCTGTCCCCATGGAGTGTTGGCTGTGTGCTGAGCTGTGATAGAGTTATGCCACTTGGCTTTCAATTCAGGCACCAAAAAGCCCAGGCTTTGTATCTCATGGCCAAAAATTCAGTCCTAGACACATTCTGCTCTACAGCTGATGGAAACAAAAATAAGGAAGGCATGTCAACTGAGAGGTGTGTAGAAGAAAAGGGATTTCCTTTTAGTGGCTGTACCTCTTCAGACTAGAAGTACAGCCCCACCCTACATGTACAGAGCTAGGAATGACCTCCTCTCTCCCCCAACTACACCAAATGCATCCACCTTTGGAAGACACTAGCAAGGTCATTCTCACCCAAGCCTATGGCCACAAACCCTTTGCATTTAGCACTACAGCACTGCTACAAGCACTTCACATGAAAGAGCAACTGCTGAACAGCATGACTGTAGGACACAGAGGGACTCTCCAGATAAGCTTTTAGTGGTGTAAACTTGGAACAAAATTTGTCACAGAAGTAAAAAGGACCATAGGAAACAGTTTTAATCACCCTCTGTCAGAATGTGCTCCAAAACTTACTTCTATCAAGTCACTGTGACAAATTTTTTTCTTAAAGACAATCAAAACATACAGAATACTCTCAAATCACTGTTTACAAAATCTTCTGGTCTGAATGAGATGGGCTAGACTAAAGAATTAAGGAGCCTGAAACTCAAGGAAACTTGTTAGGAAATTATTTTCCCTATAAACAAGACAGCTCTTCTTCAAAAGACTCAGAAACTCTAGGATTTTATTTTAAAGCCACATTTGAAGTGTATTTCAAAGAACACATTCCATATGGCTTTTAAATCTGAATGTGTCTATTAATAATTTAGGATCCTCAGCAGCTTTGGGGAGTTTTCTGTTTTAAGAAGCCTTTGCTGTTGACCTTTAAGCACAGTTCATGTGCTCGCAGCAACATATAAGAAGGTACCCTCAACCCTTTTTATTTACGTTTCTTCAGTACATCAGCAAAGATTACAGTGTGGTTAAGCCCCCCCCTTTTATCTTTGCATAATTCTTTTTTACACCATATCAACCTTCTCCAGGGCTGGATATTTGCATATTAATAATGAAGCCTGCTTTTTAATTCCTCCCTTTAGCATACTATATTAAATAGTGTTGATAGATAAGACTTGGCTCTCAAATTAGTGGTGGTAGCAAAGCAGAGTTCAAATTATTCAATTAAAACAGAGACAGCTATGTTTATTGTCTTCCCACATTTGAATTAAGCTGCAATCTCACTCAAAGAAATTGCCCTGCTCTGATTCTGATGGAGAAGGTGTAAGTTTGATCATTTCCCCAGACTGCCTAAAAACCATTTGGAAAAATTGGTTTGAACATCTTCACTGTTTCATAGTTATTGACATTCCTATAAATTCTTTGCAAAGTGCAAAGAAACTGAGGATGCAGCTCCACAGTTCTTTAAGCCAATTTAAGTGTGGGTTGCAGTCAGAATGAACAAGCATGCTCTCTTCTACCCCCTCATCTCTCCCCCATGTCCTCATTGTGTTGGAACTACTAGTCCTGCAGCTGCATGGTTAGCAGGACCAAGGAATCAATCTACTTTCAAACTAATCTTCCACCCTTTTTTTTTCCTGTCAGGTCATTTCCTACTGCACAGCTGTGTAACCACTAGTGTGAGCAGAATGAAACCTGGTGGGAAGCCATGGCTGCAGTGGGAGAAAAAACCCACCCCTGACAGTGTTTAGTACTTCTGTTAGCTCAGAGAAGTGACCCCAGCATAAGAATCTGCCCATGCAGCTTGGACTACAAAGCAGGCATAGCCAAGCTAGCCTCAGTCTGCTGCATTTCAGTAGTAAGGCAGAGAGCTCAGGTCAGACTGATTGCCCAGGGTGTACCCATATTCTTGTGTAGTTTTAATCCACAGATAGGAAAAATCAATACATAATTGCACTTATTTCCAACTCTGCAAACAGCAGTGCTTCTCTTCCACAGGGCTTAAGCCAGCTCTCACTGACATCCGAAACAACCTTTACACCGACACTGATGGAACAAGATCAAATCTGCAGCATGTGAAAAGAGCAACAAACAGAAGCTGCTGTATTCCCCCTTGCACTGCTGTAGTGCCCCCACCCACTTCCACATCCTCATGATTTCATTTTATGGTTCTATGGTATCTCATAAAGTCCCAGTTCCTGGAATCAATGTAAGAGTAACAGTATCTGCCTCAGTTAAAGGAAAACCAAAATGTCATCTGATAGTTTTGCAGAGAAGTTTAGAGGTACAGAAGAATAGCATATTAATTAGGACAATACTACCCCTTAAACAGACAAATAAAAAAAAGGAAGTCCATCCCTACTTTTATGCCATTCTGATGTTTTTGTTTTTAAAATATTGTGATTTTTAATTACTTATTATTTTAATACTTAAAGATGTTTGCTCTGAAACTACTTCAAGAGACTGTTCAAAACATTAGCAAAAAAAGAAGCCAAATTTGCACTGATACCCACAGTGCTGACAAAACATGCCCTAAAGATGGCTGTTGCTAGAACATGTAGCATTTGTCATGACTGCCTCCTTTTTCCTCACAGTATTTCTTGGATGCACATAGCAAAGCTGTAAAATACACACTATAAGGTACACTACAAATGGCCACAGAAATACCAGCTTAGATTCTGAGACTTCTGATGGAAGACTTGCACTGAGCTCAGAGACTAAAAGACCCTTCATTGTGGACTGGAATTCAGAGTGAAAGCAAAACAAGCACATATTCATGTTTGAGGAGAAATCATGGTAGACCCATTTCTACTAATGAAGAGGGCTTGTTCTGCCCACAGCACAACAGCATCACACACAAGCTCTCATATCAGATACAAGCTAACTTTTTTACATACGCCCTTTCTGCTAAGTGAAAGAAGGATCTAGGAAAAAATTGCATCAGTAGAGATTTTATCTCCTCCAGACAAAGCAAATGCTGCTACACAGGAACTCCAAATTTCAAGAGTCACTTAAAAGAAAAAGAAAAAAAACAAACCAAAAACCAACAAGATAAAAGTTACTAACAAACACCAGGTCTTCTTGGTGACCTTGTGGTATTTGAGCCTCCCTCAATTGCATCAAGGTCACTTTTCTCACCCCTACATCCAGGAAAACTAGTAACTTCATTTCTGCAAAAGTAATTGTATTACCTAACCCTTATCTGGTGCTTTTTTATCTGTACCCCTCAAAAGATGTCGACAGCACTATCTGCATATGATAACACTATTTGCATGAACTCCATCAGTAGCATGGAAGTCACTTCAAAGCCCAGTGTCCAGCACCAAGCCAGCAGCTGCTGTCACCAACATGAACTCAGAAGAAAACAACTGTGAACCCTTGTTCTATGCTAAAACCACACAAACAACTCCTATCTAATCTACTGACTTGAGAATTCTAAGACTATGGTACCATATCAATACCAAGAGTCTGGATTTTTTGTTCATTTTAACTACAGGAATTGTCGGCAGCTGTATTACCTTACAGGTGTTCACTCAGCCTGACCCTGTTCTTCTTCAGGCTACACCCCCAACTAAAGCCAGTGGAAGCTTTGCCTTCTCAACTGGGCCCTACGTTAATTAGATTCAAAGTTTTGCTGCCTCTGGCTGGTATGGATGTTCAAGGTGGGCATCCGCCCTTATGGAAGAAAACCAAGATAACTGGATAGACTCCTTCATGTCCATAAGGATACAAAAGGTCCACAGAATAATTTGCTGTAAAGAACTGAGTAGTGACAACAGCAATATGTTTGTTATCACCACCCATTTCTGAGTCAGTTATACAGTCTGCATGTGCCCTTCCCTTCTATTCCTGTCCATCCCCTGGCAGGAGGGGTGTGGGGGGGAAATCAACCCAATCTCCTTGCTTCAAAATACTCCAGACAATCAAGAGCTTATCTAGACATCTCAGTGATTTTACAGTGTTACACATATCCTAGTATCACAAGAATATGTTTTACCTTGAGGCAAATGTTTTAATTTATGTGCATGTGAGCTATTTGCAATACCTCCACCAAATGGAGCCCATATAACCCGTCGGATGGCTTTTACCCAATCTTCCATTTCGTTCTGGGAATTAGCCATGAGCAGGAAAGCCTCATGATTGACAGGCATCTTTTCCCGGTCCCCTGCGCCACCTGAAAGACAGAATACAAATCTCTTTTAGTACCTAGTTCAGAGGAGAGCAACCAATGCTTAAAACCACTAAAAATCTGGGCCCAAATGATCAAATTATTATTTTAATTGAGCAGTTTTACACACAATTCCTACACATGTGCTGCAGCACCCACAAAGCACAGGTTAATAGAAGATCAAAGCAGAAGTGCAAAATGGGCATTTCCAGTGTGGGAACCTGGAGATGTTGTATCTGCTGTCTCAGCAATAAGAAAGTGAAAGCACAGGTTGTAAGATCCCAGAGGAAAAGTATGTAATTAATTCCACATACCTGAGCTGAGATATTGAGAGATTATTACCCAGAAAGGGGACCAAGGGAATTGTAAGACATTTTAATTGCTCAGATGCACAAGTCACAAGATAATCCACTTTACCCAAGTCCTAGGGAATTTCTAGTCTCAATACAAAGAAAGAGACCCATTCTGATTTTGAATCCTATTCAGAAGAAAGTTAAGACCTGGGAATATGAATCTGACACTTCCACTTGACACAAGAACTTCAGGAGCTACTAATGCTGGCACACAACATCTCAGAAAAGTACTGACCAGAGTATCAAATCCACTCAAGCTGTCACAATGCATGTGTCACCTGTGGATACTTCAAGACTTGAAACATTTTCACCCCTCTTTTCCTGTTTCCTTTTTAGGTCAGCACTCACTTCAGTCAATTCAAATCTTCCCCTCACCCCTCATTTTACGTTCCAGAGCTGGATACAACCTATGAGTGAGTACCACATAAACGCACAAAAGCTTTACAAGAGCAGCCTCTGTATGAAAAGGCTACTGATCCCATCCAACACAGCAGCTGCATCACTGGGTGCCTGGAGCTTCTCCATCACCATGGAAACTGCTTTGGCTTTGCTAAGGAGATAACATCTGAGCCGTTGTGTCACTGTCATTTCCACACTTACATGGATTTCAGCACCTACTGGCAAGCTAAAGCTGCCAGCCTGTGCTGAGCAGCTGAGATTGCCTGTCCATGGAATTCAGAGATAAGAGCAGGATGATGGTATGCTGTGGTTTCTGCAGAGCTGGTTTAGCATACAGAATGTGTGCTTCTTAAATCCTCTCCAATCTGGGCAAAGGAGCAATCTGGGAGCTGCCTGCAAGCCAAGGAAGCACTTTTTCTTGCTATTAATTGTTTTCTGGCCTCAACACACTCAGCAGCATATGTTGATTTGCAAAGCAAAAGTGGTAAAATGAGATATGTTGGGAAGTATTTTGTGGCTCTCTAAGAAGCTATTCACTGAACTGGGAAATTGAGGCAGTCTTTCAGTAAAGAGGAGAAACAATGGCCACCTGGGACTAGGTATTAAGCTTAAGAAACAAAAGCCATGATGTTTTATCCCCCGTGTATCCAAATTCTGCTTTTTTTCCTCATAGCATGCTCTTGGACAGTCTCCCATTTTGAATTTACTGAATTATTCATATTCTTAAGATATATGAAGCAGAACAGCTCTCTAGCTCAAGGTTAGGATGCAGGCATCTGAACAGATCAATGTTCCACCTCACTCTGCTACAAGGATGACATACTTCATCCTCTGCATACAGAACAGTCAGAGCAGGAAATTAGTCTGGGAAACTCTTGTCACCGCCTAAATCTTTTACCAACATACCCAGCCTCATGATGAAAGCAGAGTTACCTTACCCAGCAGACCCATTACTGTGCCCTTTTTCACAATCACATATTTTATAGGAGATACGATAGCAACAAAGAGGTTTTCCACAGCCCTCAATGCACATAAGAAACTGGGTTCAGGATGTGGCATCTGGAAGATAGGTGGCCTGAGCTCAAGCTAGCTCTTCAGTGGAATGAAACTGTCTCAAAAAAAACAATTACTGTATGGGTCATACCATCAGCAAACAACTGAGCTTGGTCAAGTTAAAACAAACATCTTGTCCTGAAGTTCAAAGGGACCAGCTGAGATCTTGCCTACTCATACCACAAAGAGCAAAAAGAGACCAGAATTAAATCACACATTGCAAATTTAGTTGGAACAACTGAACTAACCCATACAAAGATTGCCATAGGAAGTACAATAAGCAGACAGGGAAGACTTTTTACTGTACTTTTGCAGAAGTGGTGTCAGCATCCTCCCAAAGAATCACTGTGCCAGAGGGACCTGACTACAGTTCCCCTTCCCCAAGATGTTATTTGGACAAGCCAGCTGCTTTCTAAGCCTTCATAGACATTTTTCATGAAAGTATTTAGGAAAAAATAAAAAACATTTATACTTCTATTTGAGTCTCTAAAAAGTAAAAACTGGATGGGAAAAAAAGATTCCTGTACACACAAGACCTGAGATTCTGCCAAAAACTACATACAGCTCCTCCATGCCTGGCTTTCCCCACTGAAACTTTAAATAGGAGCAAGGTCATGACCCTACAATTTGCCTGTGGGAGAGTCAGCAGTGACTAGACATGTAACTACAAGCAAATGAAGGCAACTCTACACACGGAGGCCAGCTTAGAAACAAGAATGCACTTCAGAAGTACTTCAAGAAAGCATCATGTGTTAGCATGATGTGAATATGCAGTGACAGAGCTTGTAGACCAACCCAGAAACGTTTTTCTTTTTTAGTAACATTTTACTTGTATTCCTTTGCATACATGGCTGGTTCCTTTCACTACATCCTTGAAGCAACAAGCAGAACTAGAGATGCCCAAAAGGCAGAGTTCAGACATATCTCTCTACATTGTGGTAATATTCAACATATTTTGAGTCTTAGAAGTCAAAAGAATAAGAAATTACTGAATTCAAACACCTAGATCTTCTTAAAAAAAAAAAAAAAAACAACAAAAACCCCCATAAACCAAAACCAACAAAAAACCCCCAAGAAAACAATGAACAATGTCACATGCACCTTCTTCAGAAGTCCAGAATTGTACCTAAAATTCATAGATGCTTTCTTTTCTGGGCTCAGGAAAGGATCTCATTATGGATTTCAGGTTTGAGTTGGCGACACAACACTGTATCAGTTCAAACACCCTAGACTTTAGAAATTGTTTTAGGAAATCAATTTCAAAGCTTCCTGCCTAGAAACACTTGGGGATGGAATTTTAATTTTGCCCCCCACAGCAGGATGAAGTTCATATTCAGCTACTGCATTCACACATCCTGTCACTAACAGAGCTTCAGCTCTTATTATGGTTGCCGTTAAACTCTAACCCTGAAGCACATGAGCACTGCTTCTACTCTGTGAACCAAAAAGGGCCTCTAGCTGCTAAGTACCATGACAGGGACGCTCTGCTAACAATTTTAAACACAGACAAGGGTTTTTCATACCCTTGAACTTCTTGCTCGTCTTTAATCAAGCTTCCATACAAACAAGATTGGGTCTCAGAGACCAGCCCTGCATATCTCAGGGTTGCCATAGGTAGACATTCCAGTCCTTTTGCTCAAAGCTTCTTCCATCTCCAGACTAGAGTTTGCAAACACAAACAGAGTGCAAGCACCTCAACAGATGTGGCAGAAACAGGGGGCTTAACTTTGGGGATGAATAGTCCATCTGCTTCAGCATTAGCCTATGACCAGGGCATCCTGCATTCAGTTGCCTCCTTTGCTGCAGACTTACAGTGCATGTTGTGCAAGATGCACTAGATTCCATCCTTAAGCAAGCTGGCAGTGCGGTTTGCCTCCCATCTGGGTGTACAGAAACTGGGAAAGGTGATGGCAACCCTGTAAGCATATACAGTAAACGTAAGAGCCTAGAAAGATTAAGGGACTTGTTTTGTTACTGCTCACCATCAAAAGGGCTGCAGGTCCCAGCTGACTTCAATGCTTTGCCACCCCTGTCTTAAGGTATCTTTGTCAACGTGCTTTACATACCCTGGTAGGTATCTTTGCCTGGAGGGAACAGTATAGCTCTAGGCCCCCAGTTGCACTGCACGAGTTCTCTCTTCCAGGCTCAGACTACCTAAAGCTGGCAGAACTGCTCTCCTTTGCATCTGCTTATGTTGTTTCTGCAATTGCATTTCATATGGCCTGAGAGCCATCTCCTGCTAATGTCAGCCATATAGCATTCACCTCAGAGTAATGTGCCACCTCCTAATCCTTAGAAACAGTCCTCCTTTCAGCTCTCCCTTGCACCCCACAACAGGGAAGGTTAAATACTGAAAATCTGGGACTAAGCGACTTGCTGAAGGTCAGATGCAGAAGCAGGAATCACAATCTACACTTCAAAGCTCTGTTTACTGAAAATTCTTCTTTTTTTGACTATCCTTAGTCTGGTATGCATTCACCGGAAAGTGCAAAGCATAAGGCTGCCATTATGTTATATTTACCTGTCCTGCCTTGTATTCCTGTTCAAAGAACCTGCAACAAACATTCAGTTGCATCTCTCCCTTTATATAGCTGTTGCAATGAGGAAGAGTTGGAATTTTTTGTTTGCCTTGAACCTCATTTACTCAAGCTTAACCTTCTTAAGATCATTTGTGAGGCCAAGCCTTAGATCCCCTTTGTCTGAGGAAAAAGTTCAGGAGGAACAGGACTAGACTTCCATGTAGAAGATGTTCCTGCCCCATTGCATGTAAAAGGAGGAACTTTTATACTCTCAAGTAAAGATGCTCTTGCGTTCTGCTGAAGTTGGCAGCTTCTTTTTTTTTTGTTAGATAATTTCTCTTCCTTTTACCCCCCATCTGGTTTGCTTTTCACCCATTTCTTATGTCATTCTGCTTACTGATGTGTTTCTATATTGTCATTACATCAACACTATTGAAAAGTTACACAATTACAATAACTTGTGTACGTATATATATATTTGCATGTTTGTACTATATATATTACATGTTTGATTATATGTTTGTATTGCTTTGGCATGGATAGTAACTCTACTATTTTCTGTAAGGGTGACATTTAGTTGGCCATGTGCTGCTGCAGCGCACGGGGAGGCAAATGGCAGTTCAAGGCTGAATTGTGAAAGGGGTGGCTGGTGGGTAACACAAGGCCCAGCTGACGTGTTTGC